TTAATATTACTCTACTATTATATTGTACAATTCAAAAAAAAATTTCATTATTTTTATTAAGAAAAATGATATTTTAATTTTTGTAAACTTGTATTGTTATATCAAGGATTTGGGACAAATTAGCTTCACCTCTACCAAAAAGGATATGAAAGAAAAGAATAAAAATCTATTCGTACACAAATTAATTATGCACATCTTTCTATGTTATTTTATTTTTTTTGGATGGAATGTGAACATCCTTTTTCTTTCTATTTTTCTTAATGGGATGTGCACATCTTTTTTTGTAATGCATGAATTTGCCCAAGGGTATTGATTATTTCAAAATAAGCAAATTTAGAAACTAAACCTGTCCACGGGGCGGCCGTTCAAGAATCAACTTGAGCAGTTGGAAAACTAAGAAAATATGAGTCCTCCAATAGGATCAATGCCATGTATAGCACTTCATGGACTTTTTTTAATAACTATAAATAATTTAAATAATTTAATAATTATTTTTTTTATTAAAAATAAAACATTTTAAATTCAAATAATATAACATATGAATGAAGTATGATAAAAAATATGAAATAATTATTTTTTATTGTGTAAAAAAAAAAAACCTTTTCTAAAAGTGACGTTACTAACCTTGGTATATTCTCTTCATTATCATTATCATAACAGGGTTGTCTTCATATGCATTCATATATTATATAAGAGTAGCATGGACTTATATTACTCTAAGTGATACACTAATTTTTGATTAATTATTTTAAAATTTTAACAATTAATACAATATTTAAATTCTTAAAATAACTTATTAAATTTTAAAATGTAAGTAGCTGAAAATCGGTATAAGAATTTCTAAAACTTGCATCAATGTAAGAAACTGAATCCCCTTTTCACGTACGTTTCAATTTCCAAGTCAAGCTTTGAAGCACATCATGGCCGACAAAAATGGTAGGCATACGAGAAGGGAAAAAATGCAGATAACGATATTAAGTTTGTAATTTTTTTAATTAGGGATATAAATTTTGTTGATTTTTAATTAAAGTCATAAATTTTTAACTTTATTTATTTAATGATGGTAATTTTTTTTTTGTATTTAAAAAATAATTAAATAGTGATACTAATATGACAAAGGTAAAATTAATATTTCTAAATAAAAAATAAAAAATAAACATTTTTAAATAAAAAAGATTGAAAACTTATCACATTAATTAAAAATTAACAAAATTTACATCTTTAAATAAAAAAAATTACAAAATTAATATTTTTATTTGCACTTTTAATTTCTCCATGAGAATATGGAGAATTTATCAATCTTAGGGGCAAAGCAGAGGTCAAAGGTGGTTACTAGAGTGGGATTTTGGATGTTGATGGAGGAAGAAAATGAAATTCAAGTGGGTGTGGTTAGACAGAAAAAGAGAAAGGAACCCCATAAGCAACGCAATTTTTCTAATTAAAATTGGCAACTTCCATCGACATTTGGCAACATATTTTGGACCTACGGTTTGATGGTCGGTCGCCATGTTGACTTACAATATACAACATGTTTGTTTGTCATCGTAATTAACAGTCAAGCAAGACAATGTTTTTCTTTTGCGTAATTAATTATAATTCTATTGCAAGAATTCAAACTCTTGACCTTAAGTTCAGAATTCAGCCAGCCATGTGCTTGGTAGTCCATTTTCATATTTGCCTTCTAACCTTGGTCAGCAAGATTTAATAATGCATTACCTAAGGTCAAATTGTCAATAGCATTTTTTTCCTTTTTATACCATGTCTAATAATACATTATACAAGAGAAAATAAAGCATAATTCTCTCTTATTCTTAAATCTCCCCTCACTGAAATAAAAGTTTAAACCTGAAATTTCAAATGTGAAATTTCTAGTTCTTGTTCAATCAAACCACCCCGATGAAGAACTTTGGGTTAATAGTGAAGATTCAGATGAAGCGAACTGACCTATTGAGAACTCTCAGCATTTGAAACACAAAACAAAAACTTTACTGCCGGACCATTTAACAATTGATTTTATATACACTACAGTACAATAGATATTATATGTAGGGGGCTAATACCCTGAAATTTAATCAAAGAAAATAAATTAAAAGAGAAAAAGAAGGAAAAGAGAGGGTAGGGAGTTAAAAAAAAATGGGAGAAAAAGGGGAAAAAAAAAAGGGCAGGTTTCTACTTGGGTTTGTGCTCCTTTGGTACAAAATGGATTGCTACTGAATTGCCCTCCCACCCTTTGTTGCTACGTTTGAGAAGTTGGTGAAAGGGCTCCCTCCGATCTTCGGGCAGCCTGTCCGGAGACCGACGATTTGTCAGACCCACGAACATTGTATCTCTCATACACCTTTTCCCGATTTTCTGACCACCAGGTTTCAGCTTGGTGTTCTCCAAATCTTCTCCGGCTGTGGAAACATTACATGTTCAGATTGCAATCAGAGGTTATTATCATATTGGAATATTTCAAATTCATTTAGAGATCACTTTGTTGACACTTGGTTGAACATAAATGATGAGATTAATAGAAAAAGAGTGCAGGCAACTACCTGAACCTCACTCGTTTGAGATCCCTGGTTCCATCCCGAAGTGCCACAAGTGTTATATATACACCGGGCTCATCCTGTTCAATCCACTCAGTCTCAACTTGATTACCATTAGCAACCAATGTAGGATTTCTATATTTCATACCATTCTCGCCATCTTGGGGACGCCCATATTCCTTCTCATCAGCAACCTCTGAAACACTACCGTTACTTGTCCGAAACCCTAGACTACCATTTGTCAGCCTGGCACCTGGATGGCCATCACTCCCATTCCCTCCAGGTGGTTCCCTAAGCAATTGAGTAGAAACCTGAACTCCATTAGTTGTCACAGAGTCAACACTAGCAGGGGAAGCAAGGAAAGAGCTAGCAATTGAATCTGCTCCCGAATACCACCGTCCATTTGCATCTGAATAGTGAATGCCGTTTGGCTCCTGGCCATTGGGTAGGAATGCATGTCTAATGTTCTCAGTGTCATAAACTCCAGGTGGGAGTCTCTCGGCCGTTTCCTTGAGCTGGGAAGTTGAATAGGATATGATTATATCAATAACAGTGCCATGGGATACAAATGATTAACATGTGAAAACATGAGATGTGCAAATTAATACTGCAACCTGACCTCAAGACCCCACCATTTAAGCTGGAGAATAATTGCGTTATTCATTTATTATTATTATTATTATTTTTGATGAATAGAGTAATTGCATTATTAATATTACAAACCAGAAAAGAATCTAACAACTTGTATTATGCCCCTGCAATCATCTCAAACTGTAAAGATCTAGATGCATGATATCTTACCCATGCTAATTAGGCTACCATTATGCAAGGAAAATTTTCAAATATCTTATCCATGCTAAAACAATGGCAACTAGATGCATGATGTCTGTGGATGCAAAGCATAGACAGAAGAAAAGAGAACAATCTCAAAAAGAAGATAACATAGAAACAGGGGAAAAAAAATGATAGATACATACTTGTGCTGTAAGCGACTTTATAACCTCCTTTGCTGCTTTAGATTTAGCAGACTCCTCTGCAGCCAATGTCATAGCTTCCTGAGTTTTCTTTTTTGATTGTTGAAGCTCAAATTCTTGGAGTTCACATCTCTGTCTCAGGCTCTCAACCTAAACAGATCCATAACAATCACAATCAGATTATTTGAATGAAACAAACAAAGCTCAGTCCATGTAAACCACTAACATATCACCACAAGAGGAAACTAACATCTAAAAGCACCAGCAACCAGTGCAAATATTATATACCTGTGCACGCAACTTAAGCACCTCTTGATTCAGAAGTTCATTTGTCTTCTTCAAACTGTCTGTTATACTCTTGGAGAAAGAAAGTCCTGATGTTGTAGGAATAGGTGTGGCAGAGCGCGGAGGGCTAGGTCTCCTGGAAAAAGGAGAAACAGACCTGGAACTTACTCCAGATGGTGCAAGAACTGGTCTAGGAACTGTCCTCCGCAAATCAACAGCAGTAGACAAAACAACATCTTTCAACTGTAACAAAGAAGGTGCTTGAGTAGAGCGAACGAGGGAAAATGTCTCAGTTTTTTTCCCTTGTTTGGCTGCTTTGTTATCCAACTGCTTGATTAAGTCCATATTAGAAGGCAATGCTGACTTGGCCAATTTTATCTCAGATTTATCCAGCCTGTCTTTATTCTCACCTGAGAGGCGAGGTCCAGAACTCCTCCTGTTACCTGCTTCAGAAACCTTGTTCAATTTGGTAAAACAGGAATCACAAACACGATATGGTTTGCCAGGATTAGGAGCCAAAGCTGCTCTTAATGCTTTTCTTGAACTACAGGAATGACAGTGCACAAGGCCACAGTTATAGCAGTTATGCCTTTTTCTGGTAAACCCAAAAGCCTGTCTACAAGATGAGCATTGAGACTGCTCAGCACCAGATACCCATTTATGAAGACAAATAGCTGCACTATAGTTTGAACCACAAGCAATATATTTCACATGTCTATCCTTCAAAGCTTCCACCAAAGTTGGGGTTTTTCGATCTTCTACATCTCCATGGCCCAATCTCCCATTAGCACCCTTTCCCCACGTATATACTTCGTTCCTAGATGTTAAAACAGCTACATGATATGCACCACAGGCGATTTCTTCAACACATTCCCCAGAAAGATCGTCTTCTACCAAATGTGGTAGTTTTCCATCAGCATAGGGATTCCCAAGTTGACCATACACAGTACTTCCCATTGTAAACACTTGTCCTGAAGTAGTTAAACCAACTGTTAGACTATGCCCACAAGCAACTTTGTGAAAATTGTAATCAATTAGTGCTGGCACACAGGTGGGTTTAAGCCGAGGCTCCTTGTTTCCATGTCCAAGTCGATTCTTGTCTCCATCCCCCCAAGTAAACAACTTCCCAGATGAAACACTAGCACTAGACACTGTGACAATAACCTCCACAACAGCAGCAGTATGCCACACGCCACAAGCTACAGCACTTGTCCTCAATCCTGACAGAGAATCTACTTCTCTAGGATATGGAACATTTTCTCTGTCACCATGGCCTAAGACACCAAATGTACCGTCACCAAAGGTAAAGAGCTGCCCAGTTGATGTTATCAGGGCTGTGTGCCAAGGACCACAAGTTACTGAAGCAACCTGAAGGCCCTCAAGAGGACCTGAGATTCTCTTGGGTATCCAGTGGCTGACATCTGTACCATGACCAAGAAGCCCAGCATTGTGTGTTCCATCACCCCAAGTATAAAGTTCTCCAGCCATTGTCACGGCACAAGTATGAAACTCTCCACAGGCAACAAAATCAACACTAGTAGCTGCCAATGATTCAAGAAAACAAGGTTGAATAACATCCTTTCCAACACCATGGCCAAGCCGTCCTCCGTCTTCTTCACCCCATGTAAACACTTCACCTTGCCTTGTTACTAAGGCAGCATGCTTGACTCCACAGGCTATATGGTGTACATCTAGAACTACATTGGACTCCAGAGGCTTAGGAAGAAGCACATCTGCTCTCGTGCTCAAATAACTAGCATTCTTATCAGCCCCAATCTTCAATAGATTGTCACATATAACCTCACCCCATACGTACACATCCCCTAGAGCATCACAATCATCTGGTGCAGAACCATGGCTGGAAGTGCTAGGGGCACTAGAGACACTAACTCGAAAAACATCTGAACCTGATCCTTTTACTTGCATATTTGTGCTGTCTGATGCTACATGTGACCTTCCAGAATGTACAGGAGTCTCAGACCTCAAACTCTTTGGAGAAGTATTTGGTTTTAAAGAGACAGGAACCTCAGGGGAACTAATGTCTCGAGAGGCACTAACAGAGCTATCACTTGCACTATTGGATGTCAGGTCTCTGCTGTCCTGAAATGGATGGGTCATGGAATTTATCACGTCAGACATTTTACAACTTCAGAAATAACAAGAAAAAAGACAATGATAATCTCCCTAACTTAACAATTTTACTTGATGATTGAATTTGTGTTAAAAAGATAGATTGAATTTGTATACCTTAAAAATAAGTAGTTTTCTGTTATTAAGTAAATAGAGTAACTAAGCCTTCGAGTATTATCGAAGTTGATAAAAACTTGTAAACTTGATGGAATAACTAATCAATTGCATTTATTCCTACTTCAATTGGTTAGCTAGATAATTCTGCCATTTGTCTAGAACAAAGACCATAATTTTAAGGAAGGTGCTATAGTATTGCCACAATGTAAAATAGGCCATTTAAGAAGGCACAGTGTGCTTGCCGGTACAGAAGGCTATAATTAGTAAGTTCGTAGAATTACATCAAGATAGAGGCCTCCATCACTCCAGCCATCAATTTTTGAACGCCCACCCTGTCCAGAAGATATTAATGCTTTGAGGCCTGCAATCCACACCTCAGCCTCAACTTTGTCCTTGCAAATCTAGAAGATGATGGGAAATTAAATTGACAAAAGATGCAGGTCAAAGAAGGCAATGAACAACACTTATCATTTGTCTATCAATATAACACAAACTCTCATCACTAACCAGATCAAGTGTCCGCCTTCCGTTGTTGTATATAAGAGAAAATGATAAATAATCCTTCTCGGGATGGAGAAACCGCTGGAAAACAGCCTGATAGAACGTCAGAGGGTTAAAAGTCAGAATCTCCATTATGCAAATTTAAGCCAAATACCAATTAGTTGAAGTTAAGCCAAAAATATTTTGACAAAAACAATATATAAGTTGAACCAAGGAAAGCTCACAGTTCTTTGTCCAGGAATAATTTTTGAGACTGAGGATAACTTCAAACTCCTTTCACCACTACTTGATATCCAGATTAATGATGTCTCATCCTATGACATTCATAAATAAGAACAGTAAATTATTTATACAAAAATTAGAAAAATAAAATAAAATTATAGGCTGACAGACAGATCAGACACTTAATGAGTGGGAAAAGCAAACAAAATGATTTTATTACTAGCAACAAGCTTATACATATCTAGATATTAAAAAGGAGAAAGAAAAGGAATTATTGGACTTCTATATCTTGTGTTTTCAAGGTTGATTTATATTTCGAAATACCCTTTCAGGAAGTCAAAACATTTTCCTTTGCATGTTTTAGCTACTCCATTTTTTTCCTTCTTAAGGTCAAATGTGGTGAAATATATCTAATAGGTCCATTTTCTGATTTGGATCATATCATTATTGACTTAAAAACCAAAATGTAACTATCAATTCTGCCTCTTTACCACATCAAAAGAATGGGTCACATGCCAAGCCACGGATAAATCAGGATCATTTTTCAAAATAAAAGCAGACTCCTGGAATTTGTGTCATCTATAGCAAATGATAACTAATTTTTGTGTGCTTTCCATTGTCAAAATGATATGTAGCAGAGTAAGACAAGAATGTTACACTGCACAATCAGCAGCACACTCAATCCAACTATTCTAGTAAGACTTTAATAGCTAGAGATGAACTTTTAATCAGGGTTTTCTCATCAGGCTCACCATATTTGAGCAGAACTAAACTTACATTAGAAAGTCTAAATGGATAAAACTTAGGCTTTCCCTTGCGACCATATTTCAGAAGCCGAGCACCTTTCTTCAAGGCAATTAATGCCTGCAAAAAGGCAAAGAGACCTTTTAGAACAGCATCAATACATACAAAAATCATGTCCCCAACAGCAAAAACTGGCACTATGGGCCAATCAACAAACAAGATGACAAAAACATTCTATGCCACAGTAAATAAGAAGAAAATCACATCTGTTTCATTCAAATTTCTTCAAATCATTAGGCATATCTAAGCATCATTCGTAATCCCAACAACACATGTGAATCATGGGTTAAGTTGACCTCATGCTCTTAGCAATAAAACCCCTAAACTTAGGCCTAACACCAGAATTCAATGTACTTTTTAGTAAAATTGCATGCATATCTATTTAAATAGCCTTGTGATATTTGAAAAATTCATGTTCTCTTCAACCCATCAAAAGTGGAAAAAGAAAAGTAAAAACGAAACTCCAAATGCAGCTTTAAGCTATATTTAATTGCTCAAGTGAGTACTTCAAAATAAAGTCATGAAAACACACTTCAAAGTAAAGTCAAGAGAATTTCAATCTTTTTTGGTGGGGATGGAGCAGTTGCTTTCAGAGTTTGAGGTGTGACCTTGTGGGTTGGTGAGATGGGATCCTGAAATGCGTTCGGTTCATTTATTTTCATTTCTTTTATAATCTTAATGAAAATTCAAACCTGAACCTGCTAAACCAGGAATGCAACTTTAAATTACATCAAACAAATTTTTATTTAATCCCTTTTTTTTGGCTCAAATTCCCAGTAATAATCAAACTAACCTTTTAAATCAGCCATTCAATAATTTTGCTTTGAGTTTTTGATAGGATTCAAATGAACACTGCACAGCTGAATTTATCTAACCAAAAAAAAAAAAAAAGTCACAGATTTTGCTAAATTAAACACAATACAGCACCCCAACCCAAATCTTCTTAAGTTCATTAGTAACTACTAACAGCACACAACCCCAAAATACCAAAAGTTTAGTCGACTAGAACCCAAAGAGAACATAACACATTTCAGTCATTTTGCAAATAATCAAAATCCAAAATGCTCATGAAGCTCCCTTTCAATTTCTTAACTAAGAACACAAAAGCACGAAAGGAGAAAAATGCCAAAAAAAAAAAAAAAATTCTTCCGAAATTTTAACAATAAATACACATAAACCGTGAATGTTTGCAGACAGAGGAAGAGATACCTGGTCGATGTCACGATGGGCATTCCCGTAGCTAGCAAGATCTGCCATTCCATGTGAAGAATTTACCAAAACGCCGCCTCCCTCTGCGATCGCTCTCTTGAGCTCCGTTCATCATCTACAAACAACACCTCTCTACTCTTCTTTGTCCGCCGCAGGCTACCATCCACAGCCACCTCTCAACACCGCAAAAAAAAACAGCAACAGCAAACAAAACCTAAGCCCTGCAATACTGCACAAAACTCAGCAGATCTGCAAGTCCCCTACACAAAACCGAAACCCTAACAGGCCACCACTCCTACTCATACACAACCAGCAACTTCTTGACTTTACTTAGACCAGAGCTTTGTCAAAAGGCTGCAGCTTTGCAGCTGTTACCGGAGGAGAATTCCGGCGCGGAGGTAATACTAACAGGACCGACCTGACGGGGAAGGCGGGGAAGGCGGAGAAATTTATGAGAGAATAGAAAACTTGAAGTGAGGGTGGTGTTATTTTTAAAATAAATAAATAAATAAATAAAAATTAGGTCAGAGAGAGTCAAAGATGAAAAAGTAGTAAGAAATCGCCTGAGCTTGAAAAGAAATCAGAGAGACATTTTCGATGCAGAGGGTGTTATTTTAGAGTTTTAATTAATAATTATTAAAATAAAACACTTTTAATATACATAACATAATTTTCTTTTATATATTGAGCTTTGGACTAACTATTCATTGCTCCGAATAAAAAAAATAATTTTTGTTAAATAAGATTTTAAATTTAAATTTTATAAAAAAAAAAACAAATAATATAAGAGTTTTTCTTAATAAAATTTGATTCATCTTAATTTTGAATTAGTCAAAAACTAATAAAATTATCGAATAAAAAAAAATTAAACTCTAAATATTTGATAACTACATAATTTAAAATTAAATCATATAAAATTTAAATAACTATTGTATTACTTAAATTTAAGATATTATTTAAAAAAAACTAAAGTCATTCTATTTGAAATTTTGAATCATCAGATTTATCAAGTGGTTGATTATATAGCATAATTAAAATACGGCAACACCATATAATATTAGTCAGTACAGCGTACAGCTTTTACTTTATTTTCTTTTTCCTTTTTCTGCCATCTTTCTTGAAATTTTTAATATTTTTGTTCTGTTTTTGGCTTACACTATTTTTTTAGCTTTGAACTGGAGGACCAACTTTTTGGATATAGGTAGTTGCAGTTCTTCTTCTT